GAAACTGAATTTTAAAATAAAAACTTTGCTTTAATCTGAAGATTATTAGTCTCATTCAAAAATCAAAACTGAAATTTTTTTTCTGTAGGAAAGATTATTTTTAAAGTTTTGAAGAAATGCAAGATTCAAAGTTTTGTAGCAAAGTTCTTGAAGCGGAAAGAATAAAAAAACTTAGCAATCATACATTTCATGGAAAGAATAAAAAAACTTAGCAAAGCCCTTTCAAAAACTTTCAAACAGAAATTTTTTTTCTGAATTGCAAAGCTCTGTAGCAGCAATTAATCTGAACTTTGCTATCTTGCATTTCTTCAAAACTCTAAAAAACTATAATGCAGTTAGCATGTAACAATAATATTCTTTTTTATGCAACTTTTTGTAGCAATAATTAATAGCAAAGTTATATTATAATTAATGTTTTCATTTTTTTTAAATGTTTGATTTTGATATTGCGCTTATTGTCTACTTAATTAGAAGTAGCAACTTAGCATTTTCTGAATTTAACAGACCTCCATAGTCGCATAATTATAGTCCTCTGATCATACTCGCCTAACTACGATCCTCGGACCATATTCACCATACTACACTCTATCTATCGTCTCTTGATTATAGTTCCCTAGCCGCCATCGCCTGACTTCGACCACCATCACCAGATTACGGTCCTCCAAAAACCATTGCACCATTACTTCCCCGCAACCACCACCACTTGGTTATAGTTCTTCAATCTATGTCTCCCAATTAAATCCTCTAACCTCCATGCTAGACTACAATCTTCCATCCACCATCGTCAAATGCGTTTGGGATAGATTTTTCCCTGCCGTGCGTTTGGAAACGTAACCACAATGAGGTTTGAGGTTACGGGATCGTGCTCCGTTGGGAAAATTTTCATGCCCTGCAATTGCTTTTCCCATCCGAAGTTATCCTCGCGTTCGCCTACGTCCCGCTGTTCCAAGGTACAACAAATACGTGAATGCCCTTACAGTTACCTGAAAACTATCTGGTTTTCTTGTTCATCCTCGCCAAGTTCCACTATTCAGACTTTTTCCACTTCTTCTCACACATCTTAGCGCAGTTGGGACCTCATATGTACGCTATCAAAGCTGTGACGACACAGGCATCTATAGTGAAAGGATTCATCGACATACTTTTCTTCTTATTCTTTCTTCTCGCTCAGATCAATACAGACATCCAGAAATGATAGTTGCATTAAAGAAAACAAATACAATATAAAAATATAATTCACATTACGACATATCAAATTTACAATCAAAAAGTGGCGTCCAAAAGAACATATACAATAGTCGTGCAGGCTACAAAATAATGCATGAACCAAAAACTTCGAAACTACACTAGAATCTGAAAGAAGCTTCACGCATGAAGCTCTGTACCTGAAATCATTAACCACATATAATGAGCTTAAAAAGCCCAGCAAATCACCAAAACCTACAATTGAAATCAAAACACGGTACGGAAGCAATATACATGTCAATCAATCAAATCAATATCAGTCACTTGCACATGATCGTTGAGTCAATGCAGAAATATAAATCGGTACAGAGGCAGTAATCAATACAGAAACGATAGTCAATGCACAAACAGTATCAAATACAAAATAGTAAAATCCTCAATTGATAGTAGAAAAATTAGTAAATAGTATAAAAATCCATAAAGCTCAATAAATTAGTATGTGCGTCAAATCAATAAAAAAATCATCGGATAAATCATATCGGTCAGTATCAAGAGGAATTAATTCCATGCAATAATATCAATCGGTATGAAATCATATAAAATAATCAAATCGATACATTGTAAGAACAGTTAAAATCAAATCATTACAGTAAAGACATATTCTATATCACGTGGTCAGTGTATCATATGAAGCGGATCAATATTCGATGTATCAATGAATCCATATTATCGATGAATCAATAATATTGGTATCCGTAGTATCAATGAATCAATGCAATATCAATATCCCTATCAGTATCTCTATCCAATGACATGTACAGTATGCAATATCAATAAAATCATACAGTAACAGTAAACTCATAAATCAGTCAATAAATCCATTCAATATCAATAAAGTAATCATAAGAACAATATTTTACACATGCATTCCAGTACATTAGTCTTACTTAACAAGTACAATCACTGACTATTAAGGCATTTTTCAATGTTAGTATCGATGTTAGTAATCCGTTGGCTCAGTAAATAGAGTCGTCACCCTTGCCCGTCGGCACAGTAATCTCCTTATAACTCTCTTCAGTAATCACTTGATCAGTAGAGGATAACACCAAACCCTTTTTAAAGGAAAGCCCGTCGGCCCACCATCCTATACAGGTCAATCTCCAACCAACGGTTCAACCAGTCTTTACTTGTCTTTCAGTAATATAATAATAGTAGATTCAATCATATATTCACATTCATATACATCTCATTAATACATTGCAATCAATAATACAATTTAACTCAATCGAAGGAAATCCTTAAAATATCGTACAGTCGACAGAAATCCCAAATAGAGACAAAATACACAGTTTCAAAAAATTACGAAATAACGAGAAATCGGATAAAACATCATCTCAAAACTTTTGTTGTATTGAAGCAATATTTTTTGACATCCAAATAATTTTTTATTCGATAAAAACTCCACATAATTCAAAATACCCGATGAAAACTTTCCAGAAAATACTCAAATCATGCAAAATCATCATTTCTATAACATATCAAAAGTTACGCAGTAAAAGTTTCGTCAATACAAAGATATGCATATTTTTCGGTAATGGAAACACAAAACTGAGTAGAAAAATAGAAAAATACGAAATTAGAAATAGGATTCGGAGTTCTTACAATGAAATAAACAATTCTTCCAACAGCGGCGTCGGACGAAAATAACACCGCGGCCTCCAAAACCAAGCCTTTTTCCTTCCTTTTCCTTCTCTTTCTCTCTCCTACTTTTCTCTCTCTTCAAAATATCTCAAATCATCTATTTAATGAACTCGATCCTCCCGACGATGTTTTCCATTCGTCCTGGGACGAAACTCTCTGGACACAGATCGTACAGACGATGATGGATTTCGTCCCTTGACGATGCTCTCGAGCAAAAATTTGTCCCGGACGAACCTGCATTTTACTCAGTTCGTACAGGCAGTTCGTACGTGCTAACCATACAGATTTTCACAATTTTCTTCAGTTTGTCCCGTACTAAGGTCAGTTTGTACAGACTAACTACACTCAAAAAAATGAAATTTGGAGGGGTTTTACAGAAGCCGATAACCATTTCAATTTTTTTTATTTCTCCGAACGCACAGCTGCAAGAAGCCCGGCTCAGCGTTTCGCAACTTCAAGTAGCTAGCAAGAAGGTCTCTCCTTTATATGTGTCCAGGTTCTCTCTCCCCTACCTCATTCTTTTTATTCTCATTGCCATTTTTTTTCCTTCTGCCACGACTTTCTCCTGCTTCTGAAGAGCTGATTACTTGCCCTGTGATCTCCCCAGCATTTCTATTAGGTTAGCTCTCTTCTGCTCGCATCCTTCTCAGATTGTTCAGTCAGCAGCCCGTCCACTATTGATTACCGGTAAGTTAAAACAAAATTGAATTTAATTTCATTAAAAAAACATCTTCAAAATCCCTTTGCTTTTCCATGTGACTTTCACTTTGTCGTTTATATCCAGCTTTCCTCTATTTCTCATCTTGAAAAGCTTTAGTTTTTACTATACATTTTTTTTTTATAGTGATTTTTTGGAAGAATATTCGTGCCAGATGATGAATCTTACATAGTTGTACCTTCAACTTTATATAGTCGTTTGCAGAAATTTTAAGTAATTATTGCACTCTCACTATTTTAATCTTCAAGCATTTTGTTGATATAATTTTTCAAAAAATAGAAATCAGAACATATTTGTATTATTACGAGAGAATGTTTTATTATAAAATAATATTAGAGAATCTAAAATTTTAACAAATTATTTTGAAGTATGATAATACAATGTCAATAAAAATTTATAGTATTTTTTATGTATAACTTATCAAATATTTAATAAAACTATTTTATTTTAATTCAAAATTATAGTTTCTTAACATAAAAATTTAAAAATATATATATTTGAATAAAATTTATCCATCTTCATATATATAAGGGTATAAGAATAATTTATTCCTATACGGCTACAACACAACTTGACAATTATATTGCCCAAACAAAATGCATTGCTTTCTGTACAACAATTTCAAAAAGCAACTTTCTATATAACAATTTTATAACCTACTTTACTGACAGCTGCAACCGTCTCAAAGGCACCCTTATTTTCAAAAAACAAAGATCCTTCAAACATATTAAACAAATTATGCTACAGCAACGAACCACAGTATAATTAGGCTGGAAAAGATGATCAAGCCTTCTCTTGATAAGAATACCAAATGCACTGGAATAAACAAATTTCTCAATAAATGCGTTGAAGACATTGATGCAAATACAATCGCATTACATGCTTGTTTACAAATGTTAGTAAATTTTCAGGATACGTACCTATTATTCAAAAAATATTGATCCCTTGTTATTTGCTGGCAATTTGCAGGGATGTTTTCTCAACGTTCACTCGAATTGTAGGGATATTTTCTTCCAGAGATGCGACTTTGCACATTATCTATATACATTCCATGTATAAAGATAGACCTCATGATTGATTCCAATTAAGGCTTCATTTGAAACGGCTTTCTTAGTGCTTTGTAGAGTAACTTTTTAGTACAAAAATTTTAATTTTGGTACTAAAAGCTGCTTTAAAAAGCAGTAAAAAAACCGTCTCACACAAAGCTTAAATTGAAACAAGAAAACTGAGCTGCTTCATGATTTAAGCCTTTAGTCATTAATCATTGATCATATCTGTTTACCAGCTGCAGCTTTTCGTGTGAGGAATTATCATCTCTTATCAAGGTGTTTTTTTTTATTTTGGACAGTTAGGGGATTCTAGCCCGTGTGAGATGAGAGAAATTTCTTCCGTCGACCACTCGGCTGTAGACCCGATCTCTTATCAAGGTGTTTCACACACTCTGTCATCGATCGATGAACGCCGCTTCCTTTTCTTAGCTTTAACTTTGGGAAGAATAGTCTCAAGTGCATGTTTCTCTAGCTTTGGATGCCTGAGGGCCCAAACCTTCTGCAAATCCGGTACCCAACTTGTGAAAGAAGAGAATCTTCTAGCCCTGTTTCTTCTCTTCTTAGCTTCCATCAGCTGTTGTTCAGCTGTGCAATTCAGGATTTGCTGGTTGAGCATATTTTGTTCATTCATGTAGACAGAATTTGGGCTGTTCATGCTGATATTGTCGCCCCTTTTTAGCCCATCTTCATTGCTTGCAGGTACTGAATCTGATGCCTCCAATTCATTCCCATCAAATGAGAAGAATTCCATTTTAGTATAGATTTCATGAATGACATCTCGTAGAGAATGCTCGTACCTGTAGCAATGACAGGGCAAATAGTTTAGAATGTATTCTTCCTACTCATGACAAACTATCATGTTTGGATAAAAAAAAAATGAACAAGGCATGGAGGAATGAAAAAATCTGAGAGGAAAAACAAAAGGAGAGCCGAATAAAAAAGACCAAATAACCTGAAGGTGCAAAATTTCTATTTAACACTCATTGGCAATTGAACATTTTGCACCATCCACCTATTTTGGTTTGCCTTTTTCTTGAAGATTTTGCATTCCTTAAAGCACATCTCATTTGTTGAAAGAAATAAACATTTATACTCATTATGAATACTGCAATGATGTATTGTTAACATAGCCAAGACAGAAGTTCAAAATACATCCCTTGTTAGTTAGAGATGTTAGAAAGCATCCGTTTTGACCTGACTCATGCATGACATAGCACAGGATGATTATTTTATTCTATGAATTCAGTCTGGAAGAGCTATCACACAATACATGTAATAGTTCTGAGGAAACTGTAAACTAGAAATAATCGAGTGGCTGAATATCAACTAAATGAAAATTTCAAGGCTTATTTAATTCGTTATTCAAGAGGAAGCCGTTGAACAAGTAGCTTCTAAAATGTGACATTTGCACACCATAATTACGTGGGGCTCCAAAGAAATGATGAAAAACTCCCATCCAGGAGCGATGTCAAATGGGAATAAAACAATTTTTATTTAGAAGGTTGTTGCATCCTGGAATATTCGTGGCGGTAGAGAAATATAAAGTTTAACACCTTAGCTTTGTACGAAGATCCAGCACGCAATCATATAAGAGAGAGGGGGTGTAGCATTCATAATAGACACCAAGATTTTTACGTGGAAAACCCTGAAAAGGGGAAAAACCATGGGGTCTAGCACAGTTTGAATGAATCCACTAATATTTGCAGTTGATTACAAATGAAGCTCATCATTGGATGGAAGGTCTTGGCTTAATGTAACAAATATACATCATATCGAGTGTGTTATATGGTGAAAATAGGAAGCATCAATGTTGACATGTTCGTTTGGTTGGAAGGATCATAGTCGGCGTGAGGAGGTCAGAAAGAACATTTTCTGGCGACGGAGGTCGGAAGGATCATAGTCAGCGGGTGACGGAGGTTGGAAGGACCATTGTTTGACGGCGAAGGTATTAAGGACAATAGTCGAGCAAAAGTCCGGCGTCGGGGGGAAATCCAACGACGGTCAGAAGTCCGACATAGAGAAATCCGACGAAAGTCTGGCGACAGGCAGAAGTCCGCCGACAGGCAAAATTTTAGCGACGCTCGGTGGCCGGAAGGTGATCGAGGAGCCTAGTGGCAAGAGAACTCTTCCTTCTCTTCTTGCTTGGACCTCCTTCCTCCCTTGGAGTCCCCTTTCTATAAGAAATGAGGGGTCTATTTATAGTTTTCTAAGAATGGCATGACTAGTAAATAATTGGGAGATCAAGGGTAATTTGGGAGTGGTTTGAATGGACGGTTGATGTGGATTCCCTCGATCATGGACCAATTATTTGGTATTTGAATGTCTTAATAATATTAGAATTTGACGAACTTGGGCCCGTTAGATTTGTCTCGTCGAGCCGCTCAATTCAACTATAAGCATGTCATGTTTGGAAATCATTTGGTAATCCAAATTATGGTTTGAACCTTCCAAATATGCTTTGAGTCTTTGATTTTGACCTATTTGGACTCAGATTTACTCGAGTTTGGTGTCGTTGGGTTCGTATTTCCGAAATGTTCAATTCGACTGTAAGTTTGTTAAAATTGGAGTTCATATGGTCTTCAATTTAATTTTTGAAGTTTCCAACTTGATTTTGGGTTGAGATTCTGCCCGATCAAGATAATTTTTGGATGATATATAAAAGGTACATTAAAGAATCATTAAAAAAAATATGTAGAAAGTTTCATCCCTTTATAAGGACTCATTCTTTCGGTTCAAAGATTTCTATAGGCGTAGATTCTCATCGTTAATTACCTCTCTAGTTTTGAAGAAAATCTTGATTAACGCTATTCTCAACTCTGATTATATTCTTTTCATGTTGCAAAGGCTTATTTTTTGCTCGATTAATTGGAGAGATTGAGTATATTATTGTTAAGTGCTGTCGATATAAGGATGCTCAGATGGATGAGTGGGTTTACACACAGGATATGAAATGAGCATATATGTGAAAAGGTTGGAGTAGCTCCAATGGAAGATAAGATTAAATAGAGTCGCCTTAGATGGTTTGGTCACATAAAATGACGGCCTTTAGATGACTCGGTTAGGAAAGTAGATGTATTAGATTTGACTTATGTTAAGAAAGGCAAAGGTAGACCTAAAAAGACTTTGTGTTAGAACTTAGAACATATAAGAAATGGCCTTTCTCTATTAGATTTAATGAGAATTTGACTATTAACATAACACAATGGAGAAAAAGGATTCATGTAGCCGACCCCACACAGTGGGATAAAGGCTTGTTGTTGTTTTGTTTGGAGTATATGATGGTTTCTCTTTAGCTCAAAGGGAAGTCGATAGGGGCATAATGATATGTCCTTCAAGATCACATGCTTCTATCATCTTAAGCCAGTCATATACCCTAGTATATTAAGGTTAAACTTGAGGATCCTTATCAATAGCTATAGGTTACTTCATCCTAGGAAATCTGATGCAACCTAAGTTCTAAAATCAAGTAAGAGAACATTAGGCATCCAGAAAGACACCTCCTTTCAATATCACATAAACAAACACCAAATGATAAAAACTTAGTAGAAAACCAAATGTAGAAAAATGATTAAGAAGTCGCACTAGAAAGCAAAACAAACAAAACACAAATTATAATACCATCAGAACAACCATGAGTGATCGCCTCACATGCACATCACATTATAGGGAAAGGTACTCAAAGGAAAGGCAAACTAGTGATCCAACACAAGCGAGGCTCCTCTGGCAAATAACAACAGAAAAGGGCACAATACTTCCTTACAACTCACTTTTTTTAAATAAGAAAGATGCTAGTGGAAGGGAAACTATGGAGGGGAGAAGTAGAAGGAAGACCGAGAGGAAGAAATGGGGATTAAGAAGAAAATAGCTCGCAAGCTAAGAAGAAACCCTCTGATTTTTTTTTCACTTTAATAACCCCTACCATAGAAATTCAACCACAATTTATACGAGGGGAAAGAGCAATAATTTGCTCACATAAATGTGACTCCAAAACAACCAAAAATAACCACCCAAATCAGCCCTCACAAGGAGAAGCCAAAGCAACCTGCACAGGAATTAGCAAGGGGAAAACCAAGCAGCCAGCAGCAGGAAACCGAACAGTTATATGGAAAACCGAGAAGCTAGCAAGAAAACTGAGCATCCAACAAGGAAACCAAACAACCAACCAACTAAAGAAATAAATGGGCCAAGCACAATCAAAAGCAGCCCATATATAATCACTCAATCAACCACCAAGGAGCAAGGAAGTAAAATTGACAATGGTGTGAACCAACCTAAGAGCACCAAACACAGCATGATCATGGATTGTTTTCCATCATAGCATCCAATAACACAAAAATTATATATATATATATATATATAATATAAATTCTTGTCTACATCAAAATCTCATTCAACGATGATGAAATCTTGCTAAGAGGGGCAATTTTAGGTCAACCTAGGCTAATAAAAAGTTTTAAACTCAGGATGCATCAAATGAAACTAGAAGCTCAAATATATAACCATTAGATAATGATTTGAACTTTGGTCATCATTAGTTGCATCATCACAATCAAACTAATCACTTAAGCAAGGGCCATATGCTACATCCTTTCTATATATATATATACTTTGGTCATCATTAGTTGCATCATCACAATCAAACTAATCACTTAAGCAAGGGCCATATGCTACATCCTTTCTATATATATATATACTTTGGTCATCATTAGTTGCATCATCACAATCAAACTAATCACTTAAGCAAGGGCCATATGCTACATCCTTTCTATATATATATATACTTTGGTCATCATTAGTTGCATCATCACAATCAAACTAATCACTTAAGCAAGGGCCATATGCTACATCCTTTCTATATATATATATACTTTGGTCATCATTAGTTGCATCATCACAATCAAACTAATCACTTAAGCAAGGGCCATATGCTACATCCTTTCTATATATATATATACTTTGGTCATCATTAGTTGCATCATCACAATCAAACTAATCACTTAAGCAAGGGCCATATGCTACATCCTTTCTATATATATATATACTTTGGTCATCATTAGTTGCATCATCACAATCAAACTAATCACTTAAGCAAGGGCCATATGCTACATCCTTTCTATATATATATATACTTTGGTCATCATTAGTTGCATCATCACAATCAAACTAATCACTTAAGCAAGGGCCATATGCTACATCCTTTCTATATATATATATACTTTGGTCATCATTAGTTGCATCATCACAATCAAACTAATCACTTAAGCAAGGGCCATATGCTACATCCTTTCTATATATATATATACTTTGGTCATCATTAGTTGCATCATCACAATCAAACTAATCACTTAAGCAAGGGCCATATGCTACATCCTTTCTATATATATATATACTTTGGTCATCATTAGTTGCATCATCACAATCAAACTAATCACTTAAGCAAGGGCCATATGCTACATCCTTTCTATATATATATATACTTTGGTCATCATTAGTTGCATCATCACAATCAAACTAATCACTTAAGCAAGGGCCATATGCTACATCCTTTCTATATATATATATACTTTGGTCATCATTAGTTGCATCATCACAATCAAACTAATCACTTAAGCAAGGGCCATATGCTACATCCTTTCTATATATATATATACTTTGGTCATCATTAGTTGCATCATCACAATCAAACTAATCACTTAAGCAAGGGCCATATGCTACATCCTTTCTATATATATATATACTTTGGTCATCATTAGTTGCATCATCACAATCAAACTAATCACTTAAGCAAGGGCCATAT